GCCTCTGCGGCGCCGGTTCGATCCCCGGCTGCTCCCCGGCCACTGGAGGAGGGTCCCGCATGGTGTGCAGACCTCTCCTGCTGCCCGCTGCTCCCCTCAGCAGTGTACTTTGGTCCTTCTGCCTGCTCTGCTCCCCGCTCTGGCTCTGGTGAATTCTCTCACCCTCCCGCGCTTCTGACTGTACCCAGTGCTTGTATAAACAAAACAAACAAACAAATAAATAAATAAAACATGCCTCTATTAAAAAAAAATTTAAATTTGCAAGATAAGGCTCTACCAAAACCAAAACAAAAACAACCCTATAAAAATAATGCTCAGCTTGAAAAAAATTCATCAAAACAGTTTAGCATTTTTAGCACAAAGGTGAAATAAGAGCAGTATTAATTCCAGAATTTTCTGTGTGTGACTCATCACACAAAAAATATTTTCTAAAGAAGTAAGTTAGAAGCAGGACACCTAAGAGAGAAGATAAATTACCCTTCCTCGGGATGTAACTATCTCCCCGACTCAGTACTGTACAGCAGTGACAAAATGCAAAAGTTCAGCGTGACCTGGTGAAGGTAAGGGAAGTGACTCACAAAAAGCCAGACTCATACAGGCAGCCAAGAGAATAAACAGCTTCAGCATCTTCTTGCAGTCAGAGCGCCGCTGCAGAAGCAGGAAAGGAGAACCTGCAGAGCCTGTCATGACCTGTCAAAAACATTTCTATTTCTGACCTCGATATTTCACCAGAAAATTGCACTCAGTCTTTCACAAGTGTTTCAGTGTTCTCACTTGTTTCATCCTTTGTCATTGAAATAGTCTCTATCAGAAATGCAAACCATCCAGGAGTCCTAAGCAGGAAGGAAGCAAGGAGAAGAGGGCAGGTGGGCACAGAGGCCCCATTTTCAGTGTGTGCAGGCGATTATTACTGCAGTAAAATCTTCTAGTTACTGAAGAATCCAACATGAACAACCCTGGGTGTCACTCCAGGGAAGGTCTTATTCTCAAGGAAGACCTCAGGACACTTACTCCAGGCATTTAACACAGGACAAGCGACTGGAATCTCACTTCATGGCCTCACTGCCTTCTTCCTGGCTTATCACAGGCCGATTATTGACCCCCCAGCATTGGCCACTGACTGTCCCAGGCAGTGACCGATCAGGAAAATGCCACGTCAGAGGGTGCCGCTGGCATCTTCCTATGAACCTGTGTGCAAACCCACCTGTGGACTAACCAAGGGCCCTGCTATCCTATTGCTCCGTTTGCCATGTGAAGCTGACCTCTGGATGGGATGAGCAGTGAATTAGCCCTACTTTCATCTGTAATATGGGGGTTTTGTTTTGTTTTAATTTAGAATTCTTCCTCGAAAAAGCAGAGGCTGTATCACAGAGAAGGCCTCACTAGATGTCTACTATCACAAAGCTCTGAGTTATTTTTAATGACAATATGTTATTTGGGAAAAACAAGTTAACATGAAATTACTTCAAGCAGTGGTAGTTTGGGATGCTGGTAGAGATTATTTGATTGAAAAAAAAAAAAGAACAAAAGAAATTAATGTACATCTAACTATTCCCAGAACTGAGATAGCTCTAAGTGTTAGAAACCATTATGAATAATCTTTTTATGTTTCACTTTATAAGAACAGATCAGAGAGGCAAGAAAAGATAACGAATTTGAAGAATATAACGTAGAGATACTTATTCTACCAAGTACCAGGATGGATAAAGCTGCTATTTCAGACAGTGTGGCGCTGGTACTGTTACACAAGGGACCAGAACGGAGAAAGCAGGAGGAGAAGCAAATGCACATGGATTTTGATATTTAACAGAAAGTAGCATTACATTATATTTTTAGTAAGGAAATAAAAAAGAAGCAAGCTTAACAAACATGCATTTAGTAGTAGTGTGTACGGATGACTTATCTGTAAATAGACCTATGTTCACGGTGGGGAATTTCCACTTGTATAGGAGACCACCGTCAAAACAAAGATGACCATTGTCTTAATACACTGGGCATCCCGCTGGAAAATATAATTATATTCCTGCCTCTCTGCGATTAAAAATACTCACAGGTTGGATAAGAACATGAATGTGAAAAACAAACTTCTAAAATTTTTGAGGATTTTTACATTATCTATATGACTTCAGGGTGGAAAAGGATAGAAAGGGGGAATTTTGATATAAGCAATTATATATAAAGATGAGAAAAAAGACATCCCAGACAAGGTAAAAAGTAAAGACACAGAATGCATGTAACTAACAAGAATTAGCAGAGGAGATAGGTAACTTCTAGGCATCAACAGGAAAGAAGACAACTCAGTTTAAAAATGTGCAATAGATATGAACAGGCAATTCATGGAAGAGGAAATAAAAATGGCCAATAAATAGATGACACAGGTTTGGCCTCACCGAATGAAGGACATACAAACTAAATCAAAATTCAACACCAATTTTCAGTCCATCCATTCAAAAAAATTAAAAAGTCTGAAAATACTGAGTACAAATGAGTACAGGTGGTAGCAAGATCCTCTTGTGTAAGCAAGAAGTCTTACACACCCCTGGGGACAAACATCCAGAGAGTGGTGTGATTAGGCACCTGTAGTAAGGCTGAAGATACACAGTATGGAAACGAGGCAGAAGTTCCCTTTCTAAAAAGAGCCGAGAGCACATCTTGAAAATGAGCACAAAGATACAGGTACCGGAATGTTTACTGTGGCACTTTCGGTAATTACGAGCACTTAGAAATAAATACCCATTAACACAGGAGAGAGAAGCACCAGGAAAAGTCCTCAAGGTGAAGATCAGAGAGAGGTTAGAACAAAATATCTCCCCTCAGCCAACTCAGATAACATCCAGTGAAAGAAAGCAAATTGAAGTACATGGCCAGCAAGGTGCCATTTATATAAAGTCTTTTTTTTTTTAAAGATTTATTTATTCATGCATACAAGTGCTGGGGTACAGGCCAGAGATGTGGGGGTTGAGAGGATCCACCAGAGACAAGAGTGGGGAACAGAACATGCAGATTGACGAAATACACTGCTGAGGGGAGCAGCAGGGAGACAGGAGAGGTCTGCTGCGCCATGTGGGTTGCTCCCTGGCCGGCCAGGGATCAAACTCATGCTGCAGAGGCTGCAGGTTGCTTCATAGTGTGGTGCTTAACCCTTGTGCCACCAGGGAGGCCCTATATAAAGTCTTAAAATATTCAAAACAATAGCATTTTATTTGAGGATCCATAGATGTGCACTGTAAGTATGAAGCCAATAATTCAGCAGACTAGTAATTTGTGAGGAAGATAGGAGTCTGATAGGGTGCAGAGAAGCTTGAAAATATCTGTAATGTCTTATCCTTTATAAAATATAACAAAGATGAAAATGTGAAAAAGGATCTGAGATGGACAATTGAGCGATGGATACACAGGTGTTTATATGTTTAGTATTTTTGGTAGCCTTGATTTATTTCATAATTACACAATGTGGCGTGTTGTTATATTATGGGGAATCACACCGAAAAAATCCCCTTACAGAATATGTATTAAAACTGTTACATTTTTATTTAATACCAAGCACAAAACTTAGTATTATAGGATAGGTATTTTTGGCTTAGGATAGATCTTCCATGACAGCAATACCCAAGGATTCAAAAAGGGCTGTACAGCAAGTGTTTAGAGGATGAACTCCGGAAAAGGAACAGCTGGCTTATGAGGTGGTTCTACCAAAGCAAACAACCTCCTGTTACAGGTTTGTGAAATTGGTTTTAAGGAAACTTCACGAAAAGTGAGAGCAGAAACACAACACTTCTGAAACTAGAGATTTTTGGTTGTGACTTAAACATCTTATTGCACTAAATTAATCACCAAGTATGTAAACACTTGACTATTTCCCTCACATCCCCAGAAGTTCAGGGTGGTCCTTTTGGCGGGAAGACATTAGCATCTTTCCCCATCACTTCAGCATCTTTTAATTGGGGAAATTGGTGCAGTTTAATCATGGATCGTGCTCCGTCACCTTCTCAGGAGTGTCCTGACTCAGATGACACATTTCAAAAAATTAATTAATATATTTGTTTATATGCTTTTTACAGCATTGTTTATTTTTGTACAATGTTTGCTTTCTCCTCTCAGAGGCTGTCCCCGTAAAATCCCCACCTCCAAGTCCCGTGACCATCACCACAGTCCCTTGTGCTCTTTTCTCCCCTGTTTTGATCCCTCTCTTTGCCCTGCTGGATGTCTCTGACATCCCTTATGGTTGCCTGCTAATTTTTTTTATTTATTATTGTTTTTTTTTTCATGATCCCTTATTTGGTTTCCCTATATTCCTCTGATTATTTTCCTTTTTCCTTCGGGCTTACTTCACCGACCATAATCCCTTCCACCTCCATCCATGTTGCTGAGAACCACAATGAGACACCACCTCACACCAGTGAGAATGGTGCATATTAAAAAAACTAGCAACAGGAAATGTGGCGAGGATGTGGAGAAAAGGAACTCTCTTGCACTGCTGGTGGGAGTGCAAACTGGTCCAACCACCATGGAGAGCTGTGTGGAGATTCCACAAACTACTAAAAATGGAGCTCCCATACGACCCAGCAATCTCACTCTGAGGGATCTACCCAAAGGACACAAACACATTGATTCAAAAGGACACCTGCACCCTTGTGTTCATCGCAGGACTATTTACAATAGGGAAGCTATGGGAACAACCCAAATGCCCAAACATAGATGACTGGATCAAGAAGACCTGGTCTCCATACACAATGGAATACTCAGCAATCAGATAGATGACGCATCCTAAGGTCACTGCCCCAGAGGGCAGCCCGCTGATGGGAGGAAACCCCCCAGGGGCAGAGAAGTCCCCAGGCTGCAGAACTGGTCACAGGACGGCAGCCACAGGGATAAGCCAAAGGGACTGCATCAGGTGCTTCTTTCACACACCACAAATCAAGACAGAACAAGCCAAGCACCAGCAAAGAGGCGTGAGAAGGGCAGGCCAGAGCGCAGCAGTGGTGCAGGGTCAGCGTTACCTCCGAGGACCATGCCCGCCTGGCAGCACTTCCGGAGGCGACACGCAGGGCAGTTTTTTCTGCGGATTTTATCGACGATGCAATCGTTTCTTCCAGCACACAAATAGTTATGTTGTCCTAAAAAAAAAGCAAACAAGAAAAGGTGACCATGAATCACAAGATCTGAGGACGACCGGAGACTTCCCCGGTGAGCACCAAAATGTTGGTATATTATGGGGAATGGCCCGCCGGGCCATCAGTGCCAGGGCGCCTCGTGCACAAGGATTTCTGTACATCTTCCTTCTGGTGCCAGCACTGGACCGGCCTGTCACTGCAAGGTGAGCCAGGTGCTGTTGATCCACCGTAGACAGTTGAGACGGTGAAACCTGATGCACCTTCCGGCGTCTCCCTAGTGGTACCTCAAGCTCAACGCACACAGGAAGGAAGGTAGCGGTTGTCTGGCCAAATGGCTTATTTCATAAATTAGAGAAATCCTGTAACATGTTAAGGGAATTAAAAACAGAAAAGGATCTACCATCTGCTTACAGTGCAACTATTTTCATTTTTGTATTTCCATTCCGTCTGCCGGTAGCGATCTAGAGGGTACGGAAAATGCCTTGACAAAACCCTCATGCATTCGCCAACTGTTGCTTACTGACTCTGTCTCAACACTGTTCTTTCTGTAACCTCTTTCCCACTAAAATGACACGCTGTTGACACTGAACTGCAGGGTTGGGGACTGCTTGTTCAAAGCCCACTTTTGCAGCGTGTATGTTATTCACTCATTTAATCGTCATAGCAACCTTGGGAGGTATTATAGACAGTTAAATGGGTAAATGGAGTCGTTGAGGAATAAGCTTAAGGTCACACAACTAGATGTTTTAGCTTAATAAATGTGAGAGGTAGCACTGGGAGTTAGAAATATTGGAGCAATATTGCTTTAGTTCAAAATTCACCCTCCCGCTACCCATTAGTTGAGTGACCTTTGGCAAGTAAAATGAAGATAATATGAGTACCGAGGGCTGCATCTAAGGATTAATTGCACTCATGGAAGGGTTCAGAATGGCTTGGCATATACTCAATGCCTACCTCACAAATATATTAATAGTTCGATCGGTTTGAGACACAAGCTGAGAAATCTGTACCTAGTCAAATTATTCAGGTTTAAAGGCAGCTGAAAGATACTCTCAAATATGCATAAAGCCAGGAGATAAGGGTCCACTCTTCCTGAAGAGGTGCATAAAGATGCAGGTTAGACAGTAATTGAGGGTCTAGTGAGAAAGCACAAAGCGGGGTCTGGCAGGAGGGACGGAGGATGGCAAGGCAATGGATTTAAACACAAGCAGAAATGTAGAAATTATAGCTACCAAACAGAATGAAATTCTTCTGACTCTGGGGCAGAAGAAGCTAAGCATTCAGGATTTGACACTTGAGTGGGAGGGAGATCTTCTGGTAAGTTGAGCTTTTGCCTTTCCTCCGCTATGGTGAGTGGTCAGCACGAATCGTGTCCCTGTGGACCACCCGTGATGGAATCTGGAAGCTCAGCCCACTCTGAGATATGGCCATCTGTACAGCATCACAGAGAAAGTGTAGGGGACATACCTGGAGATGAATGTTCTCTAAGACGTCTTTGTGTCTAAGAAATGTGGTGGCCAGTCAGGTCCAATTAGAGCTGAATAACTACATCAGCATGGGGTACAGGCCACTCTCCTGTACCCCAATAGTCAGGCGTGAGTGCATGTACAATACCCCTCTGTGCCCCACTTTTCAAAAGAGAAAAACTGGGCCTCCCTGGTAGTGCTGGGGTTAAAGATAGCACTATCAAGCTATTGCCAGCCTCTGCAGCATGAGTTCTATCCCCGGCTGGCCAGAGAGCTGACCCACAGGGCACAGCAGACCTCTCCTGCCTCCCCGCTGCTCCCCTCAGCAGTGGATTTCAGTCGATCCGCCTGTTCTGCTCCCTGCTCTGTCTCTGGTGGAACCTCTCACCCCCGCCCCTCTGGCCTAATCTCAGTTCTTGTATGCAGAAATAAATAAACATTTTAAAAAGAGAAAGAGAGAGAAAATCCTGTAACATGTTTTTCCCAGGTCTGCCCATTGAGAAAGTCCAGCAGCAAAGACAAGCACAGCTGTGATTAGCACGAAGAAGCAGCCGGTCCCACCCAGTATCATTTTCATCTAAAAGGAAGCAGAGAGCTTTGGAGAAGTGGCTGACCTGGGACTGAAGCATGAAAAGTACCCTTTGAACCTTGTCGTGACAGGAAATTTGATGTTACTCAGAGTCAGTGGAGAGATGTCAAAGCCACACTGACCAGAGAAGTCAATTTAACATCAGGAAGAACTTAGCACGAATGATTCAAGTTACACTGACTTTATGAAAAGCCACAAGTACTGTGGTATGTAAGGACGGAAAGCAGAGGGGAAAAAAACATAACAGCTCCCTGGAATCTACTAGAGGTTGCTAAGAGCACAGAGTCATTACTTTTAGTATAAAATGTATTTTAAGATCACCAAATTGCCTCTCAGAAGAGACAAAGGGCTATAAAAAGGATTTATAGTTGATAAAATCAGAAGGAATAACAGAAGGAGAAAAGCATCCTTTTGCAATCCTAATGAAACTATGGCCACTTGTTAAGTAGAAAAAAACGATTAAAATCCTCCCCCACCCCGTGTTCCCCTGCATGTCTGGGTGGCGTCATGGCTTCTCCCCTGGCTTCACCCAGAACAACACATTGCAACAGATTGAATGTGGACGGAGACAGGACACGCAGCTGGATTCTGTTAAGGCAGACATTAAAATGACTTATAAAAATGCAAAACAATATCATTCTTGTCATTAAATATTTTGGGTGTGGAAAATGAGCCTCTGATGGGTTTGCTATTTTTTAAGTCAGTTAAAAAATGTTCAATTATCAGCTTTAATTTTAATTTCTAATAGAGTAAGTCCACACGAACCAAAGCTCTTTGGGCTCGCTATAGTTTGTAAGCATGTAAATGGCCATAAAACCAGAGTGTTTGAGAACTACTAGCCTGGGTACGATTCTTGTAAAATGCTTAAGCTCAATCAAATCCTATGGGGGAAAATCAGACAAATTCAGATTTCTATAAAATAGCTGGCATGGAATCCTCAAAAAATGTTAATATCCTGATGGACTCCCCCCCCAAAAAAAAGTGGGAGATGTTTTTAGATTAAAGGTGATTAAAGAGATTTGTTCATCAAAAGAAATATATGGTTTTAGATTGGATCCTGCATGAAAAACCAATCTATTTAGTACATTCTGGGAACAATTGGGGAAATTTGGATACGGGCTTTATACTAAAGTTATAGTATCAGTGTTGAAGTTTAGGAATAATAACAATATTGTGCCTAGATTGCAGAATGTTCTTGTCCTTAGGGAACATATTTTTAGATCCTGAGGTGTGAGAGATGATGTTTGCGACTTTAACATAGTTGAGTACAGCTATTTACTATTCTTTCAATTTGTTTGCATGTTTTCTAGAAGCCAAGGTACTCTAAAGACACAAAGAGGGAGAAAACGGTTTGGACCAGCCTTTCATATTAGCCAATGGGGGGCTGGTCATGCAAACCTGGGGTGAGGTGAGGAGAAGAATGAAGGTCTGACAGTATGAAAGAGCCAGTTAGGAAGAAGTAAATTTTAAAATACTGAATATGGGCCTCCCCGGTGGCGCAGCAGTTGAGCGCTGGGCTGCAGAAGCTGCCGCAGCCTCCGCAGTGCTGGTTCTGATCCGCAGCCACCAGGCGAGGGTCCCACATGGTGCGAAGACCTCTCCTGCCACCCGCTGCTCCCCTCAGCAGTGTACTTCGTCAGTCTGCCTGTTCTGTTCCCTGCTCTGGCTCTGGTGAATCCTCTCACCCTCCCGCGCTTCTGACTGTACCCAGTGCTTGTATAAATAAATAAATAAATCTTTAAAAAAATTTAATATAACACCCCAAAGTTTTGGGTTTCTTTTTTTCAGTGAAGAGAAAATGTGGGGGAGAGGGAAAAGGTAGGAACAAAGTCTCACTGAGCAACCATTGCCATGGGCTAGTGCAGTAGGGACTGCACCGGTTTGTGTCATGCAGTTATTATAGCACAGTAGATATTACACAGGTGTTTCATTTTCCCAAGGGGATGTGGCTAGTGAGGCTCATGGGATTACCAAAGGGTAGCTGGACAAAGAGTCTTTGAGAAGCAAGAGGGCACAGAGTGTGTCTCTGGAGAACAGAGCCATGGGCACAGGTCACCAGACTGAGCTTATATTACCTGAAAGGACAGGGTCACTCCCCACAGGTGTGTATCAAGGGCTTCTGGAAGACTAAGCTTCGCCCTCAATCAGGGGTCACCCCAGGAATCCCAATTTCACTCAAGAACCAGACAAACGTACTGCAGTAGAGGCCAGGCATCTTCCTGACCCAACATGACTACGAGGACATGTGCTGTAAGAACACAGACTGTCTTCACCCCAAAAGGGCAAACACCTTGATAGGATTCTTGCCAGTCTCAGAATCCAGTGCTTCACAGAGGAACTCTAGCATCAGCTCAATTTTATGTCGTGTTAGTATAGTAGCTTGTTCTTTTCCTGTTTACATGCATGTAGTGTATAACCTTTTTATGTGCCATTAAAGATTTGCTCAATCTGTGCTGAGGTATAGCTTTTTCACCAAATATATATGTATACACACACACACACACACACACACACACACACATGACAAATGAACCCTTCAGATGTATAGAGTGAAAATTTTATTCAACTGATAAATTTCCTTCTGTTATCTAAGATCTACCACCTATTAATGATAAGACCCTGAATATATTGCTTAACTTCTTGATGCTTCATCTCCCTCCTCTATAAATAATAAATATAAATAATGGTTAATCCTGTAACACTATGACAGACACAGAATACATGCAGTATGAGACAGTTCAGGAAACCAGCATTGAATATCCCCCAGGTACTGAGTTGTTCTAGGCACTGAGAACGTCCCAGGAGCTTACTTCCCACAGTCAGCGAGCACTTTGCTGAACATTGTTAGTTTATCTTCAGAAACACTGATTACTTGCAGGTTGGATTTCTGCTGTCTGCTCACCAGATCCGTTACCCAACAGCACAATAAGAAGACCAGGTGCAGCTTG